CCTTGGAAGCCCCCTATTGTTGTTGTTGTATCACATATCCTGGGGCTGTCATCTCGGCGCACAAATATACTACAGTGAACCCTGAGTCAAATTAAGCCTAAGTTGTTGTTGCTTTAAAATACTCTTATAGATGTTGCAATGATTCCCTTTTCTTCAGCTTTCCATTTGCTTTGTCAATGGGGAAAACATATGTCTACTGCCACCCTCCGGAGAGTTTTGAAACTTGTTTTCTCTGTAGGCTGCCAAGGACATGCCAGCAAAAAGCCATCAGCAAGAACACACTGTTATTTTTGGCCGCTGGAAGCAGGAGGGATGTAACTGAGCATGCTTCTTGCAGTCACTGACCAAGATTATACAAGATCTGACAAATTTCCAGCTTTTTTTTCCCCCCAGGTGCTATATGAACCGCACAGCAATGTAAGCCAAGCCAAAACAGAGCTCTGTCCTTCCAGATTCAATTTATCATACAGTATCTCTATTAACTTTTTTCTTAAGCATGCAAGGTACCTTACAAGGTCTCCCAGGACAGGTTCATAGCAGCAAAAAGTTCATCATTTTATGACTGGCCCATTGACTCGAATATGTGGATTATTTCATACTGCAAACAATGGTTCATTTTGCAAAACAGAATTTCAGATTAGGAATGGAAGCAGTGTGATCGTTCATTTCATATCTGCATGAAAACCAAAGCCTACAACCAAATCAATACGAGAACCAAAATACAGCTATATGTTGATGTTTGCATTTTTCCAGGATTTCAATGCATGCTCACATGCATTGAAGGCTGAGGAATTGCTCAGGGGAAAATGGGAATGGTGGGGGAACTATATGGAAAAGTGTACATTTTAAAATACATTATATTTTAAAATACATTATATTGTATATATTATTATTTTATCAGCCTTTTATTTTTTAAAAAAAATGGTTTCAAATTAATTGCCAGTGTTCTACACATTTACTTCTGTGTGCGCAAATAAGTAATCTCTCTTGGTCCAACCCTTCCTACAGCCAATAGTTTGGTGAAGCACCAGTCCTCTCTGACAGACCAGGGTGAATACTTCACCAAACTACAAATCCCAGGATGGCGCAATGGCAGTTAAAGCGGTATCAGTCTATTTTATTTCTGCAGTGTGCAAGAGCTGTATGATTCCCAGAAGAGGCCAGCAAGAATGGCCATTGACCATGGTGTCTGGGTGAATTCCTGAAACTGTTGTCCAAAAAAGTACCGTAACTGTTAAAGTTTTATGGGCAACAGTATCAAACAAAGGAAACAACCTTGCTCTAAATCATAACATAGGTCTATTTGTTTCGTGCTACAGCTGATCGGCAGAGGCTCCACAATGTTGTGTTTGTTGTGTACCTTCAAATCATTTTTTTTTATTTTTAAATTTTATTAACAAATCATTTCAAGTTTATGGCAACCCTATGGCAAATCTATCAAGGGGCAAGATTTGTTCAGAGGAGGTTTGCCATTGCCTTCCTCTGAGGCTGAGAGAGTGTGACATACCCAAGATTACTCATGTAGAGATCTTGTAGCACCTTTGAGACTAACTGAAAGTTGGCAGCATGATCTTTCATAGACTAAAGCCTACTTCTTCAGATGCATTTGGTCAAGATCACCCAGTTGGTTTTGTGTCTGAACTGGGAATCGAACCCTAGTTTCCAGAGTCATAGTCCAACGCTCAAACCACTACAACGGGGATTTTCCCCAGTGGTAAATGGAAATGCCAGCAATTGAACCTGGGACCCACAAGCAAAGTATGTGTTCTGGCACCAAATCCTGACCTTACCAATGAAGTGACAGCTATCAGCTGTGAACCAATCTCAAGTCCTTCATTTGTACTTAGAGAAACTTTGTCAACATGGTCATTATTTGCTCCATTTTAGAGATGGTGAGAGTGAAAGGTGAGGCCTGACAGGTATGCATATCCTCCAATTGCCCTTTGCCTGTAAGGACTGGTTATTTTTTTTAAAAAAAAAAATTAGATTCCATCCAAAAATTGGCAAAGCAAAATGTGATGACAGGAGCATGCAGAAATTCAAGAGGACAGTGGCTTTTACCTGTAAAGTTGCTGAAAAGCATTAAACTATAGTTTAGGATGATGGATGCATTTCTCCCTTCCTTGGCATCGGTTGATTCTTTCCCCATTTGGAGGGCTGTCCTTTGTTTCATCTGGCAACAGCAGACTATAACAAACCTTCAAATACTGCAGAAGCTCTAGCAATCCAAGGGGCTTTTTGGGGAGAGGAGAACCTGAAATCCATTAGGTTAAACTCAAGCCCACATTAAGGATTGGCATGATCTATGGCATGGAGTAGTCGAGATTGTAGATTAATGCACAGGGAGTTCTGCCAGAATGCCACTGGGGATGAATTTTGATTTAATCCATGCTACAGGAGAGCTTTTACTGATGGATAACCTTTGGCCTTTGACCCCCCCAGACCTTTGCTGTTTTGACCAGTGGAACTAGGGTCTGTCCTCCGATAACCCCAGCACTGACATGGCTCAGCTGGAATCAATTCCCTCCCTGGTTATTTATTAAAAAAGATGCTACAGATACAAGACAGTTTGATTTCTGATGGATTAAAATGGTGTTTCACAGACTTCCTGAACTTGTTTCTTTGTTGTGCCATTTTTTCTGGCGTTTTGGGGGTTCCCCCAAATCAATGGTTTCAAGTGTATGTGGGAACCAATGATGGAGGTAATAAGGATATTGATGGGGTGGTAAATTTGCTTTGGATTTTAGTCCTTAGCTCCTTTAAAGTTTGGAATAAGACCTTCAGCAGAATTACCAATATGACGGGGAACCCTAAATATTCATTGCTACATATCTATGCCCAACATTCACTTAGGGACATATGCATGCATAAGTCGTCCTATGTATGCAGGGCCAAAATGTCACCTTTGTGCAACAGATGTATTTTGTTCATAGCAGTAGAAGCAGAGTTGTGCCGACGGCATAGATGTCCATCTGTGCCTCGTCTTTGCATATTGCCCATTGTGCACTGTTGTTTGGGTATACTACAGCTTACATTGTGGTTGTGCATCCTATACTTTCCATTGTGATTGCACATTGAGCTTGTTCATCCCGTACTTTCCATTGTGGTTGTGCATCATATACTTTTCATTGTAATTACACATTGAGCTTGTGCATCCTATACTCACAATTGTGGTTGTGCATCTTGTTTTCCATAGTGAGTGTGCATCATGGACCCACTGAATTCATTGCTGAATGGTGAGTCAACACATAGGTAAATGAAACTAATTCAATGGTTCTGCTTTAGTCAGCATTAATAACAGGATTTAGGCCATGATTTTACACCCTCCAGTATTTCACAGATGAAAACCAGGATGCATGCAACCAAGCAACATCAGAGTATGTTCAAGATGGCAAAAGTTATTAATGAGGAAGAGGTTAAAAGCAACAGTTTGCTTTTGCCTGAGCCCACTGGGAAGGGCAAGACTCTAACCCTTCTCTCCTCTCCCACCTGTGGAGTTAATTGAATGCAAACTACTTTTGCACTCTTTGTGGGAATTGCAAGAACCTAGGACAAAGGGGGAAGGTGGGAGAAGGATGGAGAAACTGGGACCTTTATAAGAGCTGAAAAAGTGGGAATGGAGAGGCTTAACTGGGACTTTCCCTGGCAAATTGGGACAGTTGGAAGGTGTGCATCTTGTTTGAACTGCAGCCCACAAAGGCAAGTCGGAGCTGGAAGAAAGATGATGATGATGGAATATTTATACCCTGCTCTTCAGAGCATGCAAAAGTTTCTCTTCTGGGTGACATCTCCCAGAATCCACTCAACCAGCAGGGTCATTCATGTGGGCTAGGGGATTCTGGGTGCTGCTACCTAGAAAAGGAACTTTTGTCGCCCTGGTAGAATTCACAGATATAGCCATGTTAAAATCAGTATGTAGGGAGATCTTGTACTATCTTTGCGACTAACTAAAGAAAGCAGTTGGCAGCATGAGCTTTCCTAGACTTCAGTCTGCTTCCTCAGATGCATTTAGTGGAGTGGAAAGCCAGGGACAGACCTATACATGCCCTGGATTTCCACTCCACCAAATGCATCTGAGGAAGTAGACTGAAGTCTAGCAAAGCTCATGCTGCCAACTGCTTCCTTTCATTTAGCCTCAAAGGTGCTACAAGATCTCTCTACATATTTTTGTAGCCCTGGTTGGTGATGTACGATAGTTGGCGGTATGTGGTTTGATTCAATGAAAATGCTCCATTCTGGCGGGCACATTCTGCACAAAGCATGGCTGGTAGGAAAAGACATGAACTTACCCCAGGCCTTACAAGAGGGTGGTCTCTTCTCCATGGGGTCAGGTTTGAGGTCAGTGAGAGGGCAGAAAGGGACGGGAGGGAGGTGGTCTTTCCAGCCGCTGCTGTCATACCTGCTGGGAAGATAATCTGAAACAGAAGACAGCTGGGCAAAAGGGGGGCTGTCCGTTGTCCAGCTTTTCTGAGTGCAGATTTGTCATCCAGACAGATGGGCATGTGCAAGATAAGCTGGGGAGCACACACTTTGTCAAAGGAGTAGGGTGTGCATGTGGACGAGAGTGTGTGCCTGCATGCGTGAGTGTCCAAAGCATTCCAAGAAGCAGGATTGCAAGGAGAAAATTAAAACAAAGCCTCGGCTTTGTTTTAATTTTCTCCTTGCAATCCTGCTTCTTGGAATGCTTTGGACACCCGCGCATGCAAGCACACACTCTCGCCCACATGCACACCCCTGCTTTCTAAACACAAAAGGTGGCTGGGTTGGTTTGAGCCTACCTCTGTGGTTCTGTACAGGACTGCTTGCAGAGGAAGGACTGATGCTCAGGGACAGAACATATGTTTGTCATGTCAAAGTCCCGGGTTCAGTTCCTGCCCTTTGCTGAGAAAGAACCCCATTTGGCACCCTCGAGGGACACTGCAAGACCAAGGCTCGGACACTGAGCATGGGCAGGGGGCCAATGTTCATTTCCAGTCACCATTTGGGCTGAGATCAAGACAGCCAGTATGGCTTAGTGGTTTAAGAGTTAGACTAGAGGAGTCTAGAGACCAGGGTTTGATTCCCCGTTCAGCCATGAAACCCATTGTCATACTCTCTCAGCCTCAGAGGATGGCAATGGCAAATCTCCTCCGAACAAATCTTGCCAAGAAAACCCCATGATTTACACCTTAAGGTCACCATAAGTCAGAAATGACTTGAAGGCACACAACAACAAGAAGCAAAATATTCTGTAAGAGCTTCCACAATCATCACTAGAATTTGTCTAACACTAAAGCTAAGGGTGTCTTCTTTTCTGGAACTTTGTGTTTTTTGTCTAATTGCTCTTTTTAAAAAAAGGAGGAAGGAAGGAAGGGAGGGAGGGAGGGAAGGGAAGAAAGATGACATTAATGTTGGTCAACATTTAGGGAGATCAGGGTTTGATTCCCTACTTGCCCATCAAACCTGCTTGGGTGACCTTGGGCAAGTCACACTCTCTCAGCCTCAGGGCAAGACAACAGCAAACCTCCTCTGTATAAATCTTCCCAAGAAACCCCATGTTTGGTTTACTTTGGGGTCACCATCAGTCAGAAATGACTTGAAGGCACATAACAACTGCAGAAAACTGTGTTCCTAGCACTACTGTTTATTTGCTCTCTCATTTGTTTATTTTTAAATATACTGGAAAACTGCAAAAACTGGTGGAAAATAATCCCCCCCCCCAGCCATGCTTTAGAAGCAAAGAATAAACATCTAAAAGCTAAAACAATGCAATGATGTTCTGGTAGGTATGTTATTTATTTTTTAAAAATATAACTTTACACCCTCATTCCCCAACAAAGTCAATTGTTGCAGGTAACAATATTACGGTACTCTTAACACAATCATTCCAAACTCTGCATTTTTATTAAGGAAAAAGCTGAGCCTGGCTCTATCAGCTGCAGACAGCCAAGGCGGCCGGCCATTCCTTGCCAAACTCTCCTTCTGGCGATAAGCATCTCTGCTTGTGTGTCACATTTTGCAGCCATCTGTCAGCTGAAGAGGAAGGGAGGAGGAAGATAATTTGGGGTAGTAAATTTGGGTTAGAACAAGTAGTCGTGGCTGAAAATTAAGGAAGAAAAACACTGAGCTAAATAGTAGGAAGCACTTTATAATGGCCAGGGTCAGCCGGACAATGGGATAACCCGGCAAGAGAGGGCATGTAACCTGGACGTATTGAAGGCAAAAAGGGTGGAGGGAAAAGGACTGCGAAATTGATTTATTGGCTTGCTTGCATTCTCATACCCTCCG